GGGCGGGGGGGCCCACCGCCGGTGTCCTGCGAGGCTTTGTGAGGCAGAGCGGAGCTCCGTGGGGCCATGTCCTGGCAGAGTAAAGGCTGTTTCTCTCAGAAATGGTGGTCGGCGAGCGCTGGTTCTCTGTTTCCAAAGAGAAAGGGTCCCTGTCCCAAGCTAGGCATAGAATCATAGAATGGTTTAGGTTGGAAAGGACCTTGAAGATCATCGAATTCCCAACTCCCTGCCATGCGCAGGGACACCTTCCACTAGATCAGGTTGCTCAAAGCCCCATCCAGCCTGGCCTTGAACACCTCCAGGGATGGGGCCTCCACAATTTCTCTGGGCAGCCTGTGCCAGTGCCTTACCACCCTCAGAGTGAAAAATTTCTTCCTAGTATCTAACCTAAACCTGCCCTCTTCCAGTTTGAAGCCATTACCCCTTGTCCTATCACTACGTGCCCTTGCAAAAAGTCCCACTCCAGCCTTCTTGTAGGCCCCCTTCAGATACTGGAAGGCTGTTACAGAGTCTCCCAGGAACCTCATCTCCAGGCTGCACAATCCCAACTCTCTCAGCCTGTCCTTGTAGGAGAGGTGTTCCAGCCCCCTGATCATTTTTGTGGCCCTACTCTGGACCTGCTCCAACAGGTCCACATCCTTCTTGTGCTGAGGACTCCAGAGTTGGATGCAGTACTCCAGGTGGGGTCTCACGAGAGCAGAGTAGAGAGGCAGAATCACCTCCCTCAACCTGCTGGCCACGCTTCTTTTGATGCCGCCCCACGATAACATCGGCTTTTTGGGCTGCATGTGCACATTTCTGGCTTATGTTGAGCTTCTCATCAACCACCAGCCCAAAGTCCTTCTCCTCAGGCCTGCTCTCAATCCATTCTCTGACCAGCCTGTATTTGTGCTGGAGATTGTCTCCACCCAGGTGCAGGACCTTAGCCTTGTTGAACTTCAAGAAGTTGGCATGGGCCCACCTCTGAAGCCTGTCAAGGTCCCTCTGGATGAGATATTTCTTCCCTCAGCAAAAACTGTGACAGAGAGAGTAGTGTCCCTTCAACCCCTGCAAGAGCCAGAGGCAGTCAAAGGGGAGAACCGATGGGTGTAGCAAAGCACAGGAGCTGCCTCCGGTACCTGCTTCATTCCCTGTTTGCAGGGGGATGCCGGACTCCATTGTCTGAAGATGTACAGCTATCATCCTACTCACCAGAAAATACAAGGACAAGAGATGGCCTCAAATAGTCATTGTGACTCAGGAGAATAGTGACCGTGGATCTTACCTTCAATGTATGCCAGCTTCGGTCTTTATTAAGCCAACTGCCCCTCTTGCATGGACCCTCAGTCACGTATCAAATCATTTAAAACGCTAGGGAATGAACACATGGCTTTATGAAGCTTTGCCAGTGAAATGCTGGAACCATAGACCTAATGGTGGTTCCTCACCCTGATGCCACTTCCATGGCCCCAAGCTATCTGTTGTAGATGTTCCTCTAGCCTGATGTTAAGAAACAAATGCCCACTCACATACCAGGATTGTAGCCTCTTAGTTTCCATACTTAGCCTTCATCCCTAGGTTTCATTTAAACCCTCTTTGGTGCAAATGAAGTTGATTTCCTTTTGTCTTGTTCTCAGTGGACACAAAGAACAAATCATCTTCTTTAATAACATTTTTTACAGAGAGGAAAATTATCCTGCTAAAGTCAAATTATTATTTTATGTAGAGGCTATTTCATTCAATGGTATTATGGTAACAATCGCATAATTAATAGACATAATTTGAAGGGATCTGTTTACAGATGCTCCACTCATGCAGCATGCAGTGGCTGGAGGGCTTCCCTAGTTTGGTACTGAGTCATGGGCAGCTACACTTAACCTCTTGCACTCCTATCTTTCACGCCAGCTTTGACTTTCTTGTCTTAGGTGCGAAATTTATTTCCTTGTTTTGATTCAAATCCTATTTTGCCTTTATCTCCTTTCAAACTGGTCGTAGTTCTTGGGTTTTTATTCTTTCTCTCTGCTTCTTTAATCCATCCCTCTGTAGTTTTATGCTATTATCTTGCAGATTGGTGATCTCACAGAAACCTTTAAACTCTTCCCACTACTTTTCTTGCAGTTTCTGCCTGCTTTCCTTTCCAATCACCCTCAGAAGTCCTCCACTGCTGGGGCCCTCTCAGTGCTGTCACATTGGCACAGCACCCCTGGTCTGTGTAGAAATGGGGTAGAAACGAATGATAGTGTCCATTTCTGCCCCGATAAGTACCTAATACTTTGAGAAGGTTTTTATTCTATGAATTTGATAAGATAAAGTGTTTATGGATAACAAGTATATTTGGAAATAGTTGGGGTTCTTCAACTCTAGTTTTACCATCTTCCCCACTCCCAGCTTCTTCCCTTCTGGTCTTTCCAAAACAATGCTGCAGAGTCTTTTCCTCTTCTGCCACAAATGTAGGATGCATTCGTTTTACATGTATCTGTATATTTTAGTTAAATATGCTACTGTATATTGTTCTGATAGATTACCCACTATGATTTTTTCTTCTGCTTTTAAATAATAACTTTAAAAAAATGCTCAAGCTTTATGAAACCTAATTTGGGGTAATAATTTAAGCTAATTCAGTGCGTTTTAGCCAACCATATTTATGTAATATTGACAGAAGTTTTAATTCAGTATTTCTTGACAAGTCAAAGTGCAGCTTCATTAATGACTGTCATTTCAATGGAATTTCAGTAAATGACACTTTGAGATTACATTACACTTAGTATGATTATTCTGTTGGCCTTCTGAAAGGCCATTAGAATTACCATCATGGAGAGGCAGGAATTGCTGTCAGTGCTGTTTGATCACTCCCTACCTAGCCTGAAAAGTAAGGGAAAGAGCAGTGGTTAGGATATTTTGTGAAAAATTGAAAACAACATGTCTTTCATTTTAGTTACGCCCAATTAAATTAACATGGGTTAACTTTTTTTTTTGTTACTCGATACTTAACTCTTTATGTAGGCAATAGCTGAAATATCCTGATTTGAGAATTGCTGAATACACAGTAGTTATGGGTAGCAGGGGACGGGGGCTCAGGACTTCTTAAAAGTACCCGTATCTATGTTCCTCTCTAGAGGATCCCAAGTTTGACAATGTTGATCCTAAATTTTGAGCATCCTGTACAATTTCCTGATTCTCCTTAATAGAACTAGACTCTCTTTGAAGATGAAGTGGGTTGAAAGGCAACTGTTAAACCGTGGTGTGATTGGAATTGGAAATGCCCGATTTAGGTGAGGGATTCTGCACAGTGTGAGCTGAGCTAAAGCTGGGGAGTAAATCTATTTTCTTCCAGTTAATGCATATTTCCACTTTATTTTATTTTTACCTCAGTAAAAATAATTTTTTCTAAAAATAAAATAATATTTTATTTTTGCCTCAGCTTGGTTAAGCTCTGTGGAGGCATCAGAACACATCTGTGCTCTGAGGGACTTCAAACATAAATAGATAGGACAGACAAGTGGAGAAAACAAAATGTTGGCTCCACCTGGGGAGCAGGAGCGTGAAAGTTAGTGACACACTGGCTGTCAGCGCAGAATTGTTTCTTCCTGGGAGCTTTCAGGGAGGGCGTTGATTATTTATTGGAAGTGATGCACTTCCACACACACTCTGTGCCTCTTAAGTAGTTGAATTGTTCTGCAGTGGATTTAACTGCATTGCTTCCTACTGCTGTCCTATAATCTGCTGGCTCACATGTGAAGAATCCTTTATTCTGATTTTCTGTGTCACTGTTCCACAGTCAACTGCAGAGGATGCACCTGGAGTGCTTCTCCAGAAATATTTGTGCTGTAAATGCATGTAATTTGGTATGAAGCTGACTGGCTGGTGCACTTTGCATTTCCACATGGTCCTGTACTAAGGTTCTGTACTCATTAGGTCTATTGCGAGAAAAGCAGGTTTTGTTCTCTTAATTCCTATAGCTAAAACTGATGCTATTCTTGAAATGTATTGCTCAATTATTACTTGCATAAGTAGCATGAATCTGTCTTTGCAACTTCTGGGTCTTAATTACTCATTTAAGTGTGTGGTAGAGCGAAGAACTAACCCCAGATTTTGTGAGGTCTTTGGTTTTTGGCCCTGTGGGATGTGACTAAGTAAAGCAATGGCAGAAATACCATGACCACGAGTACTTTGTTCTTTTAAAGCATGTTAAAGCTGTCTCTCGAACTACTTTATTTGTACTCTAAAATGCTTCTGTGATACAAGAACAGCAAAAATACACCTTTTAACAAAGGTTAGTGTTTCTGCGCTTGTCATGTTTTGTCAGTTCAGGCTCTCGACTTATTTTTGTAACAGCTGAGAGTTTTTCACTATTGTGTCTTCTTGCAAATGAGGATCTGGTAGTACAGGCTTTCTGCTTAACAGGTTATCTTTACAGGTTACTGTTTCTGCTTTATTTGAGACAGTTCTTGAGCATCTTGGAGCAGTTTTCATGTAAATCCTTGAATGGGATTTGAATTAGTGGTTCCATCTAAACTGCATGCCACTAAAAATACTTTAGGCTTGGTTTTTAGCCTTTACAATGCTGATGCAATGCTGTGGTCCTTGGGTGCAACCTCACTTGTGACTTTGGGATTATCTCTTTTTGCACCGGTGACAGAAGTTGGTACTGCTGTTAACTGCGACTATGGAAGCTCATTTTCTTTTTGTATGTTTTTTTTTGTTAACGAATGTTTTTATGTCTCCACTATAAACCAGTATGACAGCTGCAAGTCAACACTGATTCCTGAAGGCACAACATGCACATTCCCCCTGTGCATGTAACTTAACTTGTTAACCACATAGACTTTGTCTTTATTTAATTTATAAAAATATATAAAGTAGATTTGCCAGTTGGATAAGATTTCATACTAAGTGCAAACCTCAGTTATTTACTATTGAGTTTATTACTGCTTTACACTTAGATTTCAAAAACATGACAGATGTTTGTCTTTTTCAGTCAGCTGCACTTAACAGGTTACTTGGGATTGTCATTGTATGTTTTTTTTTCAATGAACTCTTCCACTGGTGTAGGCACCTGCGCCCTGTCCCTTCTGAAGCAGCCTCAGCTGCATTTTTTACAGCGGTGCTCAAGTCCTTCTGTAGCTGTAGTTCTATACATTGCATGGGGAGTCACTGTTTCTGAGGAACTGTGTAGTTAGAGCCTTTCCAGATTCCTGAAAGGTGGCAGGCTCATGGTATAATTTTTGTGACTTTTTGTCTCTTCTTACACTAGGCAAAGGACCTGCTGTAGTATGCAAGAAACTTAGCTTGAGTTTCATTCATTATCTCTGGTGGGACTTCACTGCAGTACCTGAAACGTTCCCGGTTCTGATCTTAGCACCTCTGGCCTTGGCATTCTTTGTGCCATCCTGCAATAGCAAGTATAATTGTGAGTAAAGAGACAATTTTCCATGAAGCTTTGCAGCATGTTCTCTATTTGGTAGATTCTGCAACTAGTTCAAACTTGCCTAGGGTATTTTTTCATGGTTTCGTCTGGGAGTTTTTCCTACAGTCCTGTTTTATTCCTTGTCTGGGTCTGTTAGTGAGCTTCAACCTTTCTATACATTGTTATTACAATGGAATGTAGAACTACGCTCATCCTTATTTGAAGTTCACTGAAGTTTCTTCACAGATGAAACTGGACTGCTGTGCTGTGTTGATATAGCAGAAGCTGCGTACTCAAGCAAAACTTGAAGGGCTGACAAGCATGAAAAGAGCAATGTAATAGGAAATGATAAGATGATATATTTTCTTTACATATCAAATTGCAATTGTGTTTCAGTGTAAAGATTGCCAATGTGAGTCTACAGAGCAGAATGAGAACATTTCTGGAAAACATTTTGTCCTTTTTTTTTTTTTTTTAACAGTAGCTACAAATAGGTTATGCCCTATCTCAAACAGTAGTCTTTAGCACAGTGTTTTGATAGTCTATTCAAAGTGCCTATCTGCTGTTATCTTACCCACTTATATAATTTAAATCTCTAATACTATTTTTGAGAAAACCTGTATGGTAGCAGGAAGTGCAAAAATCCATCAAGACTGGCTGCGTATCAAGGGGAATTTACTTCATCTAAATACCTTGCACATCTCCTTGTATAATGAATAAACATACACACCATCCTAACGTTTCTTTCTGTGCCATGTGTATTGTGGTAACTTTGTACAAATAGAATAAATGTGTTTTTTACTTAGACCATCAATGAGTCTACCCATTTCTTCTATGTTCCAAGACAGAATTAATCTCAAATCACAGAGAATGGAGTTAGATGGCTAAATTACAGCCAAGCAGAATTTGGATTGCTGTGGTCAATAACACTGTCTGTATAGGCTCCAAAAAACAGAACTGGAATTTTAAGTGGGTGGTCAGAAGGAGGGCCTCAAGATCCAGACGCCTGAATGGAAAATAAAGACCAATTTCAAAGTAAGATTTATATTTATTTTTTAAATTGCAGAATGTAAAGGTTTCTGCTATAACATGTATAAATTCTAGTATTCTTTGCAAATGCATTAGTGAATCTTTGCTGGGTAATTAATACAACATTGCTGTTTGTTTGCATCCCTAAAGATGATGACGTTGGCTATGTAAGGACTGCCATGCTAAAACATGTAGACAGGAAGACTGACTGTGGCATTTGAAGTGTAAAAATGCTAGTGTCTGAGTAAGACCTTTATTTTCAAATAGATTATTATAAATTGATCTGATAATTAGAGCAGAAGGTGCAGTGGCCAAAATATAACTGATGAATAATTTGCATAGTTATAGTCACTGTTGCTTATAGAAAAACACCCGGGTTCATAAACTGATAAATGCTCCTTAAAACCATTTATATAAAGGTAAATCATTCTTATGTAGTGAACAATTCTGATGTAAAAACCCTAAGAAAAAATCCCCCATCTTTTTTCTAGTATCTTGTGGTGGATAAGACACTTACGCTTGGATGAAAATACCACTATACGCTTGGATGAAAATGCCACTATAATCTGAATCCTGAAGACTATGTATTTTGCAGTACTGAACATCTATCTGGATATATTAAATATTTTTTTGCTTATATTCCATTTATCTGGATATTCATACAAATGACCTAAAAAGAAAAAATATATGCAAAACATCTTCTCAAGTTTGTATTTCACTGCAGAAAGGATTTCCATAAAGATCAAGACCTGCATAATTTTAAAATAACACCATCCTGTTAACAATTAGCTTTAACATTTTGTTGGTGAGATGTAACCTTAAGTGCCTATGAAGAGTTGAAGGAAAAAGGGGCTTTGCAGTTAAGTTGGAAAACATTTTTTCTTTACTTTGTTATTCTATTTTTAGTCATTTTTTATGAACTACTTAAATTATTTTATGTTGTTATATATTTGGAGAATAGTATACATTCTATACTTGCCTATTTTTGCAGTGGAATGAAAGCATATCATTGCAGAAAGTCAAGCCTTCATTCATTTCTTTGCCCTCATACAAAGACTGACAGCAAACACAGCTTCGTGTAGTATTTACAGGGGATCCGTCTCCTCCTTTTGATTGCACATCTTGTGCTTTACGCTTCAGTTAGAAGGATGAGATGGTAAAAACGACACTCAGTTTTGCATCATCATTGGCTTCTCTACATCTTTCAAGTTTCCGTATCTGGCTGATCTACAGAAGAGTAATAAGGACAATAATCAGTATATTGTCTAATTCTGAGTAGATAGTCTAGACAATTTTTAGTAAAGAAACTAGCTATCATTATATCCATGTTTGGCTTCCATTCGTACCAGCCTCTGTGAGTATTACAGCGGGATGCCTTGCGTGTGCTGGGAGAGGGGAAGAGGAGGAGGAGAAGGTAATAGTGAAATCGGCCTTGATAAACAGATCTCCAAAACTGGCCCGTGGGGGTGTTTGATTTTGAAGCATAGTGTTGTGATTTTAAACACCTCAGAAAATACGTTTTAAATTTGTATATTTATTAGTATGTTCTAGCTGCCATAAGCCCAAAAATCTCTCTTGTGATACTCATGATCTTAGTAAAACTCAGTACTTGCTAATTGCAGCATATGCAGTCACATCACAGCAGCAGGTGATGGAAACTGCCTTGCAGGGACTAATCCAGCTTTGTACATTAGATTTTAGAAGCTCTCCAACATCTTGGCATGCTTGTTGGAGGAAGCTAAATAAATTACTGTAACAACGAACAGAATAGTTTAGTGCCTGTTAACATAACAGAGGCAGTCTGGAATCTTCGTGGTAACAATGGAGACTGGCTATTAAGTGGCACTTAAGTAACACTCATTAACAGGATCTTCCTCAAAAATTAGTCCTCCCACTCTCTTTAGCACCACTATTTGTAATGACAAGGCATTTCTCTACAAAAAACAAGTGCACAATACGGCTGTAGCTATTAAGACGAAATTGCCTATTTTAGATTTTGTTTTCAAAGCTTAATGAAGATAGGGCCTTTATCTTTAACAATCAAAACATTCAACTTACTATATGGTCCCCAGCTAATCTGGCACAGGACTGAACGTATCCTAAAAATGTATGTCATCAGCCTTAAGAATCTGCTACAATAAGTCTAAGATGTAATGAGACGGAACAGAATTAGTTTAAGTAATAAATGTTTAATCAAAGAATTTTACATATTATTAACAGCATTCATTTGGCCAAACATCTACATGGTTGTAGTATCCTACTTGTATATAAAGTGGGAATGTATCAAGTATAGACTATGAAAGTGCAAATAACAATTCAAGGTTAGAGTAATTTTTTTACATTATAAAATTAACAGGTTTACAAAATAGTCTTGCCAAACTTTATTTCTGAATTGCAAAGTCAATGACTATGGTGTTAAAATAAGTACCAAGAAAATACAAATTTAATAGGCTAATTTCATGCTCATAAGAGTAACACGGAAACAATGGATATACTGCACAACCTAATCAAATTACAAAAAACCAGAACCCACAAACTTCACTATCTTCACAGAGAGCACTCTTACATATCTTACTGTAACTTTGCAAGACATCTCAATGCAATACACAATCCTTTTGTGAGAATCTTTCTATTCAGAAATTACAATTCAAGGAAGCTATGCAAGTTAACTTTCAGACCGATTCATGATGATAGTGCATGAAGAACTGTTTCAGTTGAAGGATTTTATACCATAGAACAATTTAAAATAGGTATTTTTCAAAGATGTCCAAAGGTTCATGATGATGTCAGGAGTAGTGTGGCTAGAGGAAAAGTTGGAAACTGATTTGAGACTATTCTATTCCATTCTCTCTAAAGATGCTTGCAAAATGAACAAGGTTTTTATGGGGTAAAGGTCAAATACTCTTATTTCATTTTTTACTAAGATGAACCTTGTGACTGTAAGGTTCAAAAGCTGGATTTGCATGAATTAAGTTACCAAAACACTCACTTGAACTCACAGTAATCAATACATAAACTTTGCTATCATGACACTTGCCTATACACACTCAGTAGTAATAAACTTTTATATCATATCAACAAATCTCTGGTAACAGTTAAGCAAAACTTAAAATGGAGTGTATGTAATTTGCTCATGTTATGACAAGTTTTTATTATATGTAATTAAAACAGCCATTTCAACAACTTACTCTAGTTGTAATTACATACTGTACCATTGTATCTCACTAACTGTAGATTGATGCTTTTAAGCAAATCTAAAACCAGTATTTTTTTTTCACGGTACAACAACTAGGAAAAGGGATTTTTGTGTTTTTTTTTTAAATTTTTTTTTTTACACTAAACAGTAATCACACAGCAAATGAATATTGTGCAATTGAACAAATACCTAGCAGTGTTTTGTTTATGCAAAAACACTGACTGAACATTTAGTTATTTACTGTAAAGGCAAGGCCATGGGTGGTTTTATGGAGGTCTTTGCAATTAATAGCATAGTTACTCCAGAACAGACACTGAATTTGAATTACTTGTTTTACTGTGGCAACTATCCAGTTGGGTTAGGCAAAGGCACCGTAACATGTTGAGCAGAATGTGTTATCCGAACTTTAATTGTGGGACTGGCTAATATAAGAAAATTCTGTATTCCTATATTTTTATAAAATGTTATCATTAAAAGTAATTGCACTATTAGTGCATAGAATGCTTTGTAGAATTATGAAAACAAAGAACTATGATTGCACTTCCATTAAAGTGTCTCTTAAAATACAGCATAGCTGTTGCTAAGTCACTGTATTTTAATATTTAAAATAACTGTTTAACAGCAGCATTAGGTTTTATTAACTTAAGATACAGGCTACATTTAATTAAATGCAGTCACCTTGGCAACACATGCCAGTTAAATTTAGAGAAGCAATGCTACCCAGTGGTTTCTTTCACTGCTAAGAACTGTGGGGTTAGTTTGATAGAGTAACACTGCACTGTTTTGTTAGGCTACCGCCAGCTAACTATTCACAGTTTGGCACATTTGGACTGTAAATAGACATGAAAAAATCTTTGATTTTAATGGGAAAGAATATCCCCTAAAACTTGTTCCTGGAGCAGTATTAAAGAGAAGCATTGAATACCTCCGTTCACACTGCTAACAAAAATGAAAAATGAGTAAGGAAAAATTATGGAAAACAAAACCAAAATGCAAATGAATTGCTAAATGTTATTTTGGTGAAAGAATGAGTTCTAAAAAATGGAATAAACTATTTCTTAGGAAAACCAACCAAAATAATCAGTGTAAGCCTTTAATCCGTACTTTCAAGTTAAGGATCATCAACCTAAGGCTAAACAGATGCTGCATTGTATCAGGAATGTGGAATACAACCTACTTATTCCTTTTTCTTGAGAGCAAAAAGGCAAGTACTACCTAATTAAATGCAAAGGATATTCCTTGAAAGGTTCACATTATTATAAAGAACTACAATTCAAGAGAACTCCTAAATATCCGTTGTTAGGTCAGTGGTTACAACTGAGCTGTAATTATGTGGATCAAAGCCTCTATAATGCTTACTCCACATACTGTACCATCTGTCACTGCCATTTACTTACTCCAGATTCCGTTTTTATTCATACCAGATGCACATGTTCAATCCATTCACTTGAGGTTTGAGGAGTCTGACTTGAAGTATCTCCTGAAGCATCCAGGGTGCCTGTTACCTCCCTGTTATTATCACCACTTTGTGATACTGTTTCACCTGCAATATTTTCTTCAGAAGTGCTTTCCTCTGTTTGGGTTCCTCTGCCTTCATTTTTGAGTGCATCCTCAAATAGCGCATGCTCTTCCTGAGGCTCCAGCCCTGTGTCTATAAGATTTGGTTGCCCTGCTGACCCATCTTCAGTACTGGGTTGCTGTGAATCCTCATCCATTTCTGTACTTGTTGAGGGGATCAGAGCAATACTCTGTGGGTTCATGTCATGAAACCAGGCCATAATATTTCCAAGTAGATTTTCATTGGTATTGGGATCTTGACTGCTGGAATCAGCGTCACTAGATGTTGAGTATAATCCACTTCTTGTGTCGCTGCAGGGGTGCGAATGAAGACGATCAGCTGAAAAGGGATCATTGCCTGCACCTAGTCTCATCAGACTGTCACCAAGTTCTAACAGCTCCGAGCTGCTCAAAGCGCCTCTTGGATTATCTATACTTATGGGAGCAGAGTCCAGTCTTGTAGGCAAAGAGGTACCTATTGCTCCTAAAGATGCCTCATTATTTAGAAAGTCTCTAGTTTCTTCATCTATGGCCAAGCCAGATTCTTGTAATGATAACTGAATAGCTAGCAGGATGTTTGGGTCATCTTCATCCAAAGAACTCAGAGCCTGTTGAAATACATAATGTCGCTTTCAGAATAAAACTTTCATCTTGTTACATATTTTGGGTGAAAAGTAATTTCAAATCTGAAATTCATTCATTATTCCTACATGTCGTTTATCAGAATCAATTTTTACTGACACAGTCGACAACAGAATTTAAAAATTGACAGTATATTGTTATAGTAGTGATTGTTTAGCAATTCTTACCGGTGTGAATGTATAATTTGTTGTCCTAGATTCATCCTTTCTTATCGAAGAATTAAGAAAATTTGCAGAGAGACAAAATGACACAGAAAAGCGGAGCAGAGGAAGGCAAGCAAAGCAGAGAGAATGGAAAAGAGATTAGGCGAGATACCTGAAGAGAATCCTGGTTTTCAGAGCGACTGACAGGGGTATAGTCATGAAGTGAAGAGCTGTGCAGAATACCCATAGAAGCTGAACTCACCATGGAGGTGCCATGTCTTCTACTACTGCCACCTTCCTGAGTGTCTGTTTGGGCAATTGAAACAAAAACGGTTGAAGAACCAGCGAGAAAGCCTTCTCCACTGTTATTTACTGACAGAATCTCTTCCTTCCTTTTGGATTCCAGCTGTGCAATTTTACTCCTTTACTCACTCTGAACGAAATAATCCAAAACACTCCTACACCAACTCTTACACAGTGGCAAAACACCAGTCCCACCGTTTTAGGAGTGACTGCCTGGCTCATTTGTGCCTTCCTGCTCTCGATACCCTTCTTTTTCTCTTTGAAAGGACGGGATATGCCACTAGCAGCATGAGCCTGTCAGCAGGAGGGGCAAAGTGCTTCTAAGGCACATACATGATTTATGGAACGTCCTGAAAAACACTGCACATGGCACAATACAGGATGCACTTACAGGGGGATTACAACCAACATTTGCCCATCTCTCCATTCTTCCAAAGACAACAACTCAGCTGTAATGTTAACATTACGTTAATTTTTACCGTAACAATGCAGCACAATTAAGAGTAGAGTCATTAGTGTATACCTCAGCAATTACTGAAATTGTTGTTTTCTTAAAACAGCCAACAAAAAAAACAGAAGTAAAATGCTGTTTCCAGAAAATTTGCTCTGTAATAAAAGTAAATATAACTCCTGACTTTGGAAAATGGATTTTTCCACTTCAAAACTAAAAATGAAATAAGGAGAGACAAACTAATTCTCTCTTGCATGCTTTAACAGTATGCACTGGTCACCACTAGAATGTCCAAGCGTTCAGTCAAATTCTAGTCCTTAAACTAACAAGATGGTTTTGCATTTTACTTGTAACAGGGAGGACCAAAGCTCACCAAAATTCCTTCTTCTGTTTCTAAAATGAAGAATGCGTTTGTTTATTTCTCCTCAGTAAAGACTTCCCCTTTTGTTTTTAAAGGACAAGCTATGTATAGAACTTAAGTTCATGAGACACTGCGATGAGAGTTTGTGCAGCGTGGCTCAGAGATCGAGCGCGCAACTGGCAGCTCTGAAGAAACAGCGTCACAGTATGATTTGGATTCCAGCTATTTTTGTACCTCTGCAAAAGCTCCTGGCAGCACGGAGACAGCCCAGACAGCCAAGTTACAGTGACCTTAAGGGACTGCGCTCCCAGCCGTGGCACTGCTTAGAAGAGCAGCATGCTGGAAGTCATAGCCCGTGCCAACTGGTTTCCTGGCTGTCTTTGTCAATACCAGAGTTTCTGAGCAGGGTTTTGGAATACAGCCTCAGGGCTATCTTCCAGCAGGCCTGTAGCAGGGGAACCCTCTTCTACACTCTTTATGCACAACCGATCCTTTTAATTGGCATAAAAGAGCTGCTATATAGATAAGACTGTTATATGAAGTACGCGCCCTTCAACTTTTCTTCAGAAAAGCAAACCTGCTCTAAATAGCTGAGGAGTTGTTAGTGGAGAGATCGATGTATTTCTCTTTAAAAAGAGGAGCAGCCACAACAGTCAGCAACACTTCTAAGATCACATACAAACGTGCAAAAATAAGCCTTTATGTTGTATCCTGGAAAATACAGCAATGTATTTGAAAGCTTTTTAAAGTGCATCCGCAGAAGAACAAACGCTTTGGTCGCTACTAGCAAGTTCTGAAGCATGAGGAGAAACAAAACCCCAGCCCCAGGCAGGAACATACCTAATGTACTCTCACTGGGGTCATCAGGATCCGGAGTATTACTCAGCAGACTGTGCATGTCACCACGTCGACGCTGTCTGTGCCTCCTCCGATACTGAAATTCAGCATATTCCTGCATAAACCAAAGGTTACAAAATACAGGGCAGCATGCAGTAATATTTTTCTGATGTAACAAGCACCACATTTTTCTTAAAAATGTGTGATTTTATGTGTTTATTATAAAATCACCTTTTTTTCAGAAAAATAAATTGCAAGTTATACCATGCAATGCTCAACATAAATAATAAAAAAAAATAAATCCAAGGTAATCCTAAATCTATAAAATAATGACTTAGCAAAGAAAAATACTTGACGTATTACCGACATTTTAATACTTGCAAGCTCCCTTTTTAAAGAATTCCAACGACACATTTTTTGGTTAAAAGCTTTGATGCCAAGCTTTATATACACATACATCGACACACTTTTTAATAAATATATATCTAGTGATTTTAGAACATAAAAACAATTAATTTGAATTAGAGGAACAGATTATCTCAGAGTCTCTTTTGCCTGCAATTGCCAGTAGAAAACAACCTTTGGAAGACTACAGAAGGCTGGCAGACATACACTGGGAATTGTTATACTTCTCCAGCCTCCAGGACACTATGCCTCAGGACCTTCTTAAGCCACAGCTGATACTCTTTTACTGAACAGTCATTGATGGATTTTTATTCCATGAATTACAAATCTCCTCTACTTTTGCCTAACTTGAGCTGCTAACGAGCCATACCATACAGATTTGAACACCTGCAGCCTGTAATTTCTCATGTTGTGTGCATTTACCAAAGACAGTTTATATAACATTTATGGAAAAAACTCATTTTTCACCACATCAAGCTAACATCCCAAGGGTTCACTATCTTAATACTTGGAAAGAAATGTTTTGATTTCCATACTTTTCCTAATGTTAAGAGACTAATTTTATGCTTGAAGGCAAATTTCCAGGTATGTTTTTTGGTTCGTACAGCTGACACTGATCCTGACAGTGTAGGTTAAGATCTTTTGTTAATTTCAGTTGTTCATTTAAACAAGGCAATAAAAATATACACACTGGTACTAGCTCTTCTTTTCAGAAAAGAACACTGCTATTTATTTCCCTGAGCCCCAGGTTGGGAAATCTGTAATCCAAAGGCTTCATTTGGCCGAATGAACTGGGAAAGATAACATTACCATTAGCTTTCCTTTCTTACATTAACTCTTCATCCTAGCATATCTCAACATCTAAAGTATCTAAAACTTAAATCCAGAAGTGTCATCTCTCAATGACATTACTGATAGTATTATGATGGTATGTTGTCTTTCCATGTTTCAGACATGGGAAAAAACCCTGGTTTAGATCAAGTTCTTATTCATAATGACATATACAAGCCAAAAAGAGGAGTCACAAAATCATCAGTGTGGGCAGATTTTTATCTATGTAAGAAGATCCATGAAAATTGTAAGAACATAAAAATAGCTGTACTGGACCAGACCAAAGGTCCATTTAGCCCAATATTCTGTCTTCAACAGTGGTTGGTAGTATATGCTTGTTAGCCAATGGAACAGCATAAAAAATGGGGCAAACGTCATTGTTCTCTAAAATATTTTTGCAGGTCCTAGGGAGCTCAGGGATTTCCTAAATGGAAGGCAGTGCCCGCAAACAAGAGAAAACTCAAAACTCGATGTGGAAAAATATAACTGAATTGTTTTAAAAATATATAATTATATAACTATGAATCAGACAAGGAATAATGGGAAGTGATCACCAAACACTAAGACTTGTTAATCATATCAAATCTTATCTTTCATCTGTTTGTAATAAAATCATAGATTTTACCAACAGCCATTTAACTTTTGGTTGCTTTTTCACCTTTAGAAAGATATCTGAATTACTACTGATAAAAAATCATTTCTGATTACTTAGAACAATTTTATACATGTGAGCAAAAGAAGCTTTAATTTTGTTGGGTAGAAACATCATGGTTTCACACAATGTTCTACACCAAGCAGTGTTCCTTGCTAAAACCAGTAAGGTTTTGTTTTCTGTAATAATCTGGCATACACAGTCATTCTACTACTTGTCAGTAAAAGTACAGCTCTATGTAAAAAAAAAAAATTAGTGAAATTCACTAAAATAAACAAAGATGACCATTATTAACTCTACAAAATTCCTTTAGCATAGGTGGTTGCAAGTATCCTTGACAGCTACGTAGCAAAGAAACCAAGTTGCATCATACAGTGCCGCATTTAGGCAAATCATAGAAGCTCATAAGCAATCATATAAGCACGACTGCAATGCCACTTACTGCTAAACAGCTTATCAACATATTTCTTATCAGCTTTTTCTCATAACCAGTTCCACTGATGATACAGCAACATCCCAATCAGTTTGATATTATCAAATGGGGAATTATTTCAAAAGAAAGGACTAAAGGAACTAGACAGGAGAATCAAGTTGATCTTTTGTAGAGAAGCAAGCTATTTTCTCAACAGCGTGATGCTCACCAACAACAATAGCAAAGGAAATATATAGGAAAAGTACATGGAGTTTTCCAGGATGCTTTAAAATGTCTAGCTAGAAAGAAAACAGCACCAAGGAAATGCTGAAATGAAGTTTCCTTTCTAACTGAATGCTTTAATCTAATGTTCACAAAATATTAAATAAAAGTTAAGATGATAAAGGAAAGCTTTGCAGGAAGCTTCTCATATTTTAGTGCAGAGTCATGAAAATTATTTACTCTTACCCATATATAAATACTGCAATATTCATTTTAAAAATTATAATTTTCATTCTTGGTTAAGTAGCAAGAGTTAAGTTTAAGAGTTAAGTTAAGTTTAACTCATTTAAGTATGCTATTTCCATCCTGCTTCAATACATAAAAATAAAAAGTGTTTCAAATAGTTAACAATATTTAGGTGTATACCTGTATATTTTTGTTGGGTTGTGACAGAAGGATGGAAATTTCTCAGAGTTTTTGTCAAATTCCGCTGAACAGATTTGCATTCAAAATTAATCTACACAATTTCATTTATTTATTACTTTAAGGTTCCCCAACACATAGACACCAGTTTATATACAATTTTAAAACTGGTTATCTACTTGGAAAATAATGAATACAACATACCTTGTCTAATACCACCTTAAATAACTATAGCCATGTTAGGGGCATTATTTAGAGTCACTGCACAATTAGCTATGGATATATTTCCTTCTATTGTGAAATAAATAAAATGGTAAGCTTAAACCAACTTGAAGTGCTTTGAATCAAAATAAGGAAGCTCTTCATGCAGTTTGCAATCATACCTGTGTTTCTAGAATATGCAGAAGTTAAAAAAATAAAAAGAAATAGTTTACCTCAGGCGATGCAAATCCTAAATATTCCCAATCCCATGTTCCACCAGCAAAGCTATAAAATTAAGAGATATACCATGAAGTTTTGAAGTAGAACCAAGTACGAACAACCTCCAGAGCTTCAAAACCTATCAACATCTAAAAAGTAGTGCAGTTGTAACTCTCTAAACTTACCAAGTCTTCTGCTTTAATTCTCACCTCAAAATTCATTTAGAAAACCATACATTGGACTATTCCAGAACTGGTTGGTGTTTTTAGCAAATACTTATAGATTTTTGGAGTGTACCAGATATTTAGTGAAAATCTTGAAGGAAAAAAGTGAAATGGAAGCCATGACATCTAATCATTACTACATCGCAAATGGGGAAGCAATTTAGGCTGCAGCATACAGAGCAGTGATTCTCAAATACATTTTTCCTCAGTGAAAAGATGTAATTCCACAAGGATCAAACGTCCAAGAAAATGTCACTGTCTGGTGATCTACAGCCACCACGTTTGTCAGCTCCACTTTACCTCACTGTCGAAGACAGACAGCGGATTTACCCATTTGGGCAGCTATCATTACGCTTTTTTGACTTGCACAGTATTTTGTTTGGATTACCTGCGCCTGGGTGCTTCTGGCGAGTCTGCAGGAGCAACACCACGGGCCACAGAGGCCAGGAACTCTTGCCGTTTCTGCTGCACAAGGCAAGCTGCACGGATGATTTTATGGCGAGGAGTCCGAAGGTAAGGCCTGTTCACTTTCTGTGCAAGGTCTTCGGTGACCATTTCTAGGTCTGTCTGCAATAGTTAATAAATACAGAATAAAATAATTTTACAATTAAATGAAAATCAGGCAGCGCTCTACACCATAAATACTGAGCAGCACGATATCCATTTTCCTGGAAATACCATTTGAAATACCGTAATACCCGAAAATGTCTGCCCTTCTAGCCTACCCTTTTAGCGACCTAAATGCTGTCCTCTGGCTTAGAGCAGCCCCTGCTGCTGGGGCCACCGCCACCCAGGTACTCCCCCAATTGTGCCCAGTAGGGAAAGACAGGAAAGAGGCGCTAGAGAAGGAGATGGAAGATTGAGGCTAAAATGCTATCCTCAGAACAGAGATTAAAAGTAAATAATTTTCATTCTTTCCCCTTCCACCTGTCTTTAACCCCTTCCTTTTTCAGCAAAGTGTTGTTTTTCATTCATTCTAAAATTGAACTAAAAGCTATTGTGTCACAGAGTAATAAAAATGCACTAATTTTCCAAACTTGGTTACAAATACAAAGTGGGTATATTGGTTTTACACTACAAAAATGGCAAAAAGACATTGATAACTAATATTACCAAAAAAAAGTAACATTAGAAAAGCAAAATATAGGCATATATTACCTGCATAAGTTCAAATATTTCTTTCTTTGTGCTTTTAGGCTCCAAAAAGAATCCATATGGATAAGAACACTTAAGAATGCGGCGAGTTTTCAGAAGCTCTTGCACTGCATCTTCAATGAATGTGGTATCAGGACAGCCTCCCTCAGCTGTAAGATGAAACAAGCATTGTGAAAATATTTTCCTGTTGATGTCAGCACTTCTTTTAGCATAAGGGTTTTCCTCCAAAATAAAATTTATGTGCATGTCAGTTAAATATTTTGCAAGTAAACAGCAGCAGGTTCTCAATGACTACACGGTGTTCTTACTAAAAGAAGTAAACACAGAATAGTCTTTGGAATAGATAGGTTTAGCCATAACAGAGTTGATTTGATTTCAAATCAAATTCATAGATCACAGCAAATACTTACTTCCACTGAGAGCTCTACTCAATTGCTCCATCTTTTCTTTGGCTGTTTTTAGAAGGCGCTGTTCTAACTAGAAAAAAGAAAATAAATAAAATAAAATAAGATAATTATTTTTGGATTAATAAAATTGGAACAAAAATCAGTAATAATGGCTTGACCCACACCTGGTAGCTAAGTTCATGGTTTTTAAACCTTGTGTAGTAGTGCATAAACCTGTCGAGCTCTTGAAATCTTCTATGCTTCTTTTCAGCCTGGAAAATAATGGGGAAACAAAAGAAACTAAGATAAATCTTATGATTTAATTTAGCCATCACCACTAGGTATAATTACACAACAGTTTCTATTCCCACTACACATAAAGTATTGTATACAATGCTGATAAGTACCATGTAAATAAAGACAGAAATGTAATTTTTGAAATTTACAAGTCTGCAAATACTGTAGCCAAAGAGTTGAGTTGAGTTAAATAGCATGGAAACTGTGTGTGCATGCTATTTAAGCAGACTTTCCAAATGCCCACATTAAGGCATGTCTTTTGTAGTCCACAGCAGCTAGTTACAGTACCAGCACGCCCATTTCACAAAAGGAAACCACAGCACAGAGAAGGAAAATGACTTGGGTAGAGTCACCAGTGGTTGCTACCAAAGCTGAAAGCAGAACCAAATCTTATGTTTCTATCCACAAATAAGCATTTTCTTTCTGTCTCTTTGATATTTTTAAGGTTGTATTTTTTCATTTAGAACTCAGGTTTGGAAGAATTTTGATGGAACTTATCCTTCATAGAAAATTGCAGCCTTAGCGCTATTTTTCAAACACACATTCGTTACCTCTACTGTCATCTCCTTGGACTGTTCCTCTACATGTTGAATAACCTCATAGCGAGTGCATCTGTAGTAGCCTCCAGTGGAAGAGCTGTGCTTCTTCCATTCTTCTAAGCATATCCAGCAAAAGTCATATTTGCACTTCAGAAAAAAAAGGAACAAGGAGGAAAAAAAAAAAAAAACGGAGTTGATACATTGTAGATTTGCAGTTATGCTTCATTATTCTTCCTTGAACAACTGAATTAACGTTAGCTCTGAGTGTGCTTACAGTCAAAAAAATTTTTGAGGATCCTCCTTCCTATTTTACCTACTATAGAATATCTGGGTTATCAAACCATGTCAGTCATAATTTTTGTTCCTTGGATCACAAGATTGCGTTGGATCTACAAGTGAAGTTTTAAGTGGATGAAATAAATCAAATGATAAATACAGCTGATCACGCCTGGGGTTTTATTATTGTTTAAAAAAAAGACAGTCCAATTTTTTAAGCGACACAGCAGCTGTTCATGAGAAAGAGTGAATTTTTTCCTAATATCACTTAAAAAACCAAGAAAAAAATCATTACAAAATATTAAAAAATGGCATGAAACAAGTTGTTTCACGAGCAACAGGACTAATAAAGCTTGACTGCCTATTAATTTATGTGTATATGCCGCTACTGCAATAATCTCACCTCTCCCAAATTATCTCCCTCCATGACCACTCCACCATATATATCTTCTAATCTCTCACAGCTCCAAAAGCCTCCTCAAAAACCCAAGATTCACGCAGTGTTCCCAGACCCTCCTCCAGTACCTCAGTCTCATTAAACATTCAAAACCACATCATCTGTTTCTACACATCTCCCAAACTCCTGAGCTCTGTTTTATGTGCCTTTATGATCACGTAGCCACGCAGCAGCACCGCCTATGCTTAACGAATCACATCTGCTGCCCGGCCACTGTCTGAGCAGGTAACTGCTGAGTAGGTATTCCAGCCTCTCTCTTGGTGGCACTACAAATGAAGTCTCTGCACCATACAGCTACCAAGTTTCATGAAACCTGCAGTAATGTAATATCTGTGAACCCCCTCCTGTTCCTTCATAACTGGTTCAAAGTACCCAGAAGGTTAAAAACTACTACAGGTAGGGGAGTGAGAGAGCAGGACTGCCTAAGCCTTGTCTCCTTAGAAACTGGGCTGATAGAACAGTAAGATGCCTGCTTAAGTACAGAAATGTGATTTTATGAGTAAAGAGTATCCTCCTCTACACCAAGGTACGTGCTAGCTGCTAAGAGGCAGTCATAACTCATCATGTAGTAGGCCTGAGCGGACCTTACTGCAGCAAAGGCAGAAGGTCCACCACGGATCCTTACTTCAGTAGAGAAAGAGACAAGAGAGGTGATCACTATACCTTCTGGCTGAGCCCCACAGTGAGCTTCAGGATACCCTTCCTTTCCTTCCTCACTAGGCTGAGATTCTCTGCTGGCAGAGATTTCTCCAACACAAAAGCAATCTGACTGTTTTAAGGACACTTGAAGCTGTTTATAAGGTACAGCATCAAAGAAGACAAGAGAACTGTGCAGAATGGTACTGATTTAAATTATCTACATTCAACAGTGTTTAATAGCCAAAGTCTTCTCCAGCCTGAGGCCATACTTTTGTTTGATTGAGATGAGCTCAGTGGCAAAAGTTTCAACAAACATAACCTTTTACAGTTTTTAGCACTACGGAATTTATAAGCTCTTTTAAAAATCATGTAGAAAAACAAACAAACAAAAACTAGCAAACTTGGCATAAATCAAAGTGGAGGAGAATCTGTTCTCTGCTGCCACAGTCAAAACCAAAGAAACTACACCAAAAAAAGCCCCAATCTTCAATTCATCTCACAGAAAGAGAGAGAATATGTGATGATAATACAAAGAAAAGGAGATCTGCATAGGAATGGAGAGAGACTAACACATTTCCAGAAAAATAAAGAGAATTACTTTCTAAATCTCTTAGCTTTTCATTGGAAGCCAACTATGTCAAGTGTGTGCTACTTTCTTATTTTTAATGATGCTCCTCAAGGAGGTATTAGCTGTAGTTATATAAGATATTTCTGACATAAAGAAACAGTATTCTAAATATGCTGCTTTTAACTAATTTGAGAGAAAAAGCATTCTCAAATGATACTGAACTCATGGCAAAAAATATTTTTTCTATTTCGGTAGCATAGTGCAAACTCATGACTAATTTTTTGGCTGCTGTCACCAATAAGTTTCTTTTGGAATCACTCTTTGCTGTCTTTTCATTCCTACTGATTAATTCCTGTTTACAGTTTTCCATTAACACTTCTCCGTTTTGTTGCTATGTTAAAGAAATAATGCAAAAGAAAAATGTAGTAAGGCAAAAATCTTCATTAGAGCTTACCATTCCATAAAATGTTTCCTCTTCTGCCAACTAAAAACGTTCTTTCTCTTCTACGTTATTAATGATTAAACTATCAATTATTTCTGTTTCCTTAAGTTTCATACTCTATTGCCAGTAATTCTTTAGTGTTTATGAAATTTAGATCATTACAGTGTTCACCTGCCAGCCAGCCAGACTGCAGTAAATATTAAACATTTTCTAAACACACGTAACCCACCATTTGCAAATTCTCTAATTCTTGCAACAGGTTCCATTAGATCTCTGCCATGACACTTTCGAGGTTTTGGATGTCTGTGCTCCTAAAACGTATACATGACATACGCAACCTGAATTATGGTTTCACAACAAATTATATGAAGGGTCTTTCTTACCTTTGCACATTGCATGTGGTTGCAGCCCTCGTTCTTCTGAATTGGAGATTTGCAGTTGGCGCATGGTTTGGAGTTCGTTAGTAACCACAGGCAGTTGGCAGCATCTTCATATGCCTCACTTACTCCCACAACTTTTTCAGGGTGACAGGAGGATATGGAGCATGCAAAAGCAGAGAAGTTGAAATTGTACTTATGTAATCTTTTGTGAAAATCAGATTAGGAAAGATATTTGTTTACCTGTTTCTTGACAGAATATCATAATACTTCACTGAATATCTTTCTCACATATATAAATATATACATTTTCTAATTCATACATATTATATATAATACTATTACACACATTATGTCTGTATATTTCCACACACATTTCTATATAAATTTATATATATTATATATGACATTTATAATATATCCATGAGCAAATACATATCTGAGAAAAATCAGCATAGTTTGACAAAGTATGGTGTATTTTGCCTCTGTATAAAATTTTCTATGCTTTCCAGAATAGTTATAACATATTATGGAAAGACTCTGAACTGTGGTAACCAAGTTAAATTATTACTTATTCAAATTACTGTCAATCTTTAATTTTTTGTTGATGTTGACCAAGAAAATGTCTGTCTTGTGTAAACTCGACCTTTATTAGTTTTTTCAGTAAAAGTTATTTATCATTAAGCCATTCCCAACAACGCCCTTGCAATTCACTCTCAACCTTCCTATCATTATCACTTGTTGGCTTGAATTAGTTTTAAAGCACAGAAACAACTGCATGGAACAGAACTCAAGCAGAAGTGCAGACTGGGCTAAAAGATTTAAAATTGCCCAGGACAAATGAAGTTATATTAAAGAATAAATCAATTAATTAATGAAAGAAAGCTGTAACAGGAAGGGAAAAGAGTTTTGTATGTCCTGACTGAACCACACGTGGATTTATGAGGAGGAATGGTTTACGAAGAACAGTTTACCATAGTGCTGCTTAACAGGCAGTTAAAGTATGAAGCAGCCCCTCGTTCAGGGGTTTAATTTTCTTCCCCTTTTACCCTGTTTTTCAACCAATGTAGAGTTTTTACTTAATGCAACCAAAAAATCCCTCTAAACCCAAAAGATAACAACAGCAAAAAAACCCTAATTGCCCCCCTGCCCCCGGCATGACTCTTACGTTCTTCTGGTTTCATTTCAGATACTTTCTGTAGCCAGTCCTTCCAAGTTTGGCAGTCACAAGGTTCATGTGCTTCACCAAGACATTCCCTGAAAATGAAGGTGTATACACAATTACTTATCATTTCGAGATTTAGAATTAAAGTTAAAATTGGCTCAAGCTAAAAAAAACATGGAAACTTATCAAGGCACACTCAAACTTTAATTAAGTCAGGAAGATAAAAAGTCATCCAATTAACATTATTTTAAAATACTGTTAGACTACTTGCTCACAAGCATAGATGACCATTATTAAGGTTAATAAAGAATTTAAATGAGACAGGAAAGGAAAAGGGCTTTTTAAAATTACAATCTGAAATAAATCAGCTGGTCTGCAGTTTGAGTTCTGCCTGGGTACTATTTTAGCGACACAAAAAGTGCTAGTATAGTTTCTGTGACAAAGATAAACCAGAATAAAGAGAGTATCCAAAACTAGGTAGTTTGTTATACCTGAAATGCATTTTATGTAGAATTACTTGCAGTTGTACTAATTAATCTTTAACTAGATTCAAACCTTTAATCTAGAACAAGATCCAAGCCCTTCAACACCAGCATTAACTATTTATGCGTATTTACTCTTTCCATCAGTCTCTTAAACGGGGGCTTTAACTCAGTTACATGGACACAGAGGAGGAATGACTCCCTTGAGCTTCTTTTGAAGCTACTACTAACTTTAAGGATGGCAATCACTACTACACAGTGGCAGAGAGATGGCTTCCAGACGGTGCTTCAGTGGAGATGTGTCAATATGGACTCTGGATTTGTGATGATGCCCTTTTTTACTGAAATGGCAGCAAACAGCCTCAGATGTCTGCCACATCAAACTAAACAATTCAGAGGGAGTACATTTCAGATAGGCACCAGCTGCATCAGAGTATACACAAGTTTTCTGCAGATCCGATGGTGATCTCTGGTTTGGAGACACTTAAGATCTGTAGCTGGGAAAGATTGTCCTGGAATGAGTAACTAGTGTGTAATGAGGCAAGGCAATCTCAGCCCTGGCTGACACCTTTCACTTCCGCGGGACAGTAGTACACTTAAATCAGTGATTTCAAGAGAGCCGAGAACTCTCACACAGTATTTGTTCCCAGAAAGGACTGAAACTAGCAAAAATTAACTTTAACAAACTTGGTTCTAAGTTAAAAGCTGATTAGTCAATCTTTTACTGGGGGGAGAAGGTTGTGTCATTGGTTTGTAAATTTGTGGATTCTTAATGAAATGCAATCTTACATATATATCATGTATCTATATCTGGATCTATATGATAGTCACAACAGAGTGCTAAAGAACAGCTTGTCATGGAAGAAATTCTTTCTGCAGCCCACCCAAAACCAAGGATTTTTATACTGGGATGTCATTTCACTAGAGTAAGAGCATTGAGCCTATCGCTCATAAAACTTTTTACGAAACAAAGCTGTATTTTGGATAGACTCCCCGACAGCACTGAATCGAGGGAACCAATGTCAAACGGCTGTGACAATTAACAGTGTTACCCTCCCCAGACTGCCTTCCTCAATACTCAGCAGGGTAATTTATTTGAAGGTGCAGTACATACTTAATAAAATTGTAGCAAGTTTCAACAAATTAAAATTCATGGAAGGGCTAAAAGCATCATCCGAGAGAACCAGTTCTGGATTTTCTTTCCCCTCATGATAATTTTTATACCACATAATGAATTTTGAATCAAAACAGCAGAACACTCTTGCAACTTAAAATTGGCTTCCCGAGTGCACCTGAAGAGATGTGTCTCCCACAGAACGAGTCTGCCCCTTGTCTCCATCGAGGATGAAAGGAGTGAGGACTGATAGTGCAAAACTAAGTGTGCACTGCCTCCTGTGACTATTTTCCAGGAGTGTCTGCTCACTACGATTCTTTGTGCTTCTGAAACAGCACGAAGAGGTTCTAATATGTTGAATGTCCCTGATAATACACAGACGGCGCATTCGTGCACAGTTTTCATTTGTACCACATTTAAATATCTCAGAATGCTTCTTCTGAAAGGGAACAGAATTTTGTGTTTGTCACAACACATTACATTTTGTTGAAGGCGGTATTAGCAGTGGGTAATGAAAAATGAGTAAATTCTAAGGAACTGTATTTAAGAGGAACATTCCTACTACCACATAAAAAAAAAAAAAAAGGAAATTGCTCATAGACTCAGAATTTAGCAGGGGAGGCTATAGATCCTAAAAAAGCAAGTGATTATCTAGGGTTTGGTTAGGGTTTTCTAACACGTAAATTCTGAAGAATATCTTACTAAATGCAGTATCAATTGCTATTACAATGTCTAAGCTGTAGATTACCTGGGGAAAACTTGCAGAACTGACATAAGTATGGAACTGTGGGATGTGTCGATTGAACTTTTAAGATATAAAGCAAGCTCCCTTTAAGAATACAGTAATGATGAAAACCCTCTGAATGGAGAATACACTTTCTTTTTCTCCAGAGGAACTCATCCATGCACTGGGGTTTTGTACTGTAAAACTAATATGGTTGTCCTCAGCAAATGGTCCTGATTTATAGTACTGCAGGATGCTTTGGTTGTTAGCAGAACTGTTGCCACTGCTGAAACTCTTTGCTCACTTTTGTGGGGATGAAAAAAAAGGCCTTGGAAAGGCCTTCTTGGGCATTTTGCTGCTAAAATGAGGTCTTTTTCAAGACCTTAACAGTATTTGCTTGTGCAGTATCGCAAAGCATTAACATAAAAAGAACATTCAGTAATACTATCAGGAAACATAAAAAAGCCATATCTCATAAAAATTAGGCACTCATGAGGACTTTTTCACACTCAGAGGACATTCTGGGGAGGTAGTACACTCAGCCCATGCAAAAGAAGCAAAAGCTGCCAATGTCTGAAGGACCATGTCATTATTACACTGAAGTGGTCTCAAGCTCTGTCCTTCAGGTTAACGGGAAAATTGATTCTCTGCCTGTAACCAGAAGCAAGGATGAGAGGATGGTACCTTCTTGTGGAATGGTACTAAGGTTTGTTATATGTTCACTGGTAGAAAACATTTTCTGGTTTGTTTCCACAGGATTTGTTTCTTTCTGAGTTCTCAATCCATTGTGAAAAACCTCTTTCCAAGAATTTCTGTTTTCTGGCTTTTGTGGTTGTTTCATTATGTCTACTTTCCTCTTGTTGCTTCTTCCTTTCCATTCATATGGGTAAAGAACTAAAATCAGAAGCATTTTTCATGAACAGTCTTATGATATTTGGAATCAAGCACATTATTCAGGATCTCTTCTTCTTGCATCGTGGTTTCAATTGAAAAATTAAAAGAAGGGTTACTCAGCTTGTCTGAATGTATATACTTTGGCTGACCCTTTTCGATTTTCAGCAGTGAAAAGGATGTCCCACCACAATAGTCATAAATTGTAAGTCAGATAACCTAAAGCAACTAGGACAGGGCTTTGCTCTGCACTTCAGAAAAACATCTCGTCACTTTTTTGCTTTTGTTGATACTGTTGTTGTCCTTCCCTTGGAAGGGCTGAAGATAGGCAATCTGAGAGATGTTTTTTAAATATCTTATGGATTTTTACTCCTTCTTGAGCTTGTATTCATCTTAAGACTCAACAGAAGATAACAAAGAAAAAGTGCTGATCCTGAAGTGAAACAATGATTGAAGCGATCCAGTTATGTATGAAGCAAAAGGTCCTCCATAGTCCTGTTTAAACTCCAGATTCTTTGATGTGATTCTACCAAAACTCAGAAAGAGCCAAAAATTGCTAATTTTCTGTGCTAAAATTCAGAACGTGCCACGTTTCAATTATCCTACAACTATCCAGAGCAGACACAAAAATCCCTCCACCAATATCCCACTTCTCCTCTGTCCCCTCAGAACAGAACATCACAACAGTCCATACTGCTGTTTTGCATCTAACAGAGCCAATAATGAGTAAGACAGTGTTATACACCTTTGCTGTGCCCTAAAATAGTGAAATATTTGTGCACATGAGGTTATTTAGTGCATGGATACGGGATAGTACAGTCATATACCATCCCATGCAAATTTTTGTTGCACGCCTGGTTCTAAGTGGGACTTTTTAATTAATCCCTGAAATGGCAGTGACTCTGAGTTTATGTAGATGTAGATAATTTGCTAGTACTAACCAGCAGAAAAGATGTCCTTTTCCACAATCTACAGCGGGGGCTTTTAGCATAGGAAAACTAAGCGTATCTGATCCTGTTGAATTTGATCCTTGTCTTGTTAGCCTTACTGCTCTTTCACAGCCCGGTATAGGACACCATTTAATAGCAGGATTATTTTCAACAAAGGCCTGTGGGGAAAAAAAGGAAAATATTTTACCACATAAGATCATATTTCATCAATGATATAATACAATCTGTATTCATAATCTTCCTTTAAAGGAACAAAGCCAAAAAGCATAAGGTCAACCTTGTAGCTACTTTGATAGGCTTTTAAAAATAGTTATAAAAAGGGAATAGTTTAATCTCCACCTCAAAAATCTTTGGGTGCTTTTGGTTTGGTTTTGTTTCATTTTTTTGAAATAACAACAGTACTCCAGACTTATGCTAAGATGCAAATGACTTACATCCCAAACAAAATGTTCAATGTGCGCAAGGCAATTTATTTGTGATACGGCTTACTGTAAACTTCTACTATATAGGCACTGGCAATATACTCATTAACAGAACTGATTCTTGTAGTTGAAAAGAATTAAAACCTTACTGATTAAAACAAAAATCCCACAATACATTCCACCCACAATAAACTTGAAATTAGAACTAGACTAACTCAGGAATTTATCTCCAATCTTTTTTGGTTAATGTAGCACGTCCTTTTTTGTAAAACTTACATCTAATAAATGAGGAGGAAAAGGAACTTTCGTTACTTTGCTTCAAACCTATGCCACTTGAAATATGAAGATGTAAAAGATTAATCAGATATGGTCATTTAATTTGCATCTGTGTAAGACACTTACTGTGTATTAGAGACCTGTCATACAGAGAAAGTATTGTACTGTAAACAAAAAAATATTTCCCTACTTTCTTTTGCCCTGCCACCACTGATAAAGTAGCACACTATCTCAAAGACTAGTTAATTGCTACACTAGTATAAAAGAAAAAAGATGAATTAAAAGATTGCTTTTAAAAACAAGTTACAATGATGGAAATAAACGCATTAAAAAATCAAACAGGAAAACCAAGTCAAGGTCTTCCTGCTTCTCCTCCTACATGTAGCAATCATATCAAGCACTGGACGGAAAAAAAAAGTAATTAACTTGTACCAATAGATCTTTAAAATGGAAACAGGTACTATACCTGAATGTAAACAGTCGCTTGGTAATAAAAATAATTCAAAAACTCTTAAAAATTATAGATTGCCAACACAAACAAGTCTGGTTGATTAAAAGCTTCATATCACCCCTTATGAACATTAGTTTGATCAAACCATTTTTTAATACTGCATTAGGTTACACATTATGGAAGTATTGCATTTGTGCTTAAGGAATAAATATAATGTTCTTTCTTTTTTCTCAGTGATATACCAAACATCAATATTACGGCATACAAAACAGCCAATAATTCAATGTACATATTAATTTATGAATTTATAATTATCAATTAATTTGAATTTCTACTTGGAAAGTTACAGATATATTGCAGCATTTCACATAGAAGTTGAAAGTTATTTTTTATAAAATGAAATACAGTTCAAGAGTACAAGAACAGTATGACAATTTACCTTAATGTCAAATTGAAGGTATCTTTTGTCCATCTCCTTGGAAACCACACTTTCTATGATGTCTACAGGCACAAGCTGGAAACAATCATATGCTGGGCAAAAAATGTTGTGAGCTTCACCTTCCTGAATTTTCAGATTCAAAAATCTGCCAGAATTTTGTCAGTCAGTATTTGTGAATAAAAAGTAAAAATTAAAAGGCTGTTGAATACTTTATATTAGGTTCACATATATTCACATTAATCAATTTTTAAACAAAGAATAGGAAGTATCCCTTTCTGCTCAAAAGGGCTACGGATTTGATGAACAGCACAATTTTTTAAAAAAAAAAAACCCAACACTGCCATGGCTCAAAGGTGAGCACCATCAACTAAGCTTAGCCTTATCTGTTCGTGGTTTCCATCCTTGTCAGAGACAGCTATGCAATGTTTAATTAAACAGAGCATTACTTCTAACTTAAATCAGAAACGGAACACAGAAGTGTAATTAATCTAGGAAATAATTAATTTGATGTGCAATTAATTTTTACAACTGTGCTAGTCAAAATAGGTCTGCTCTTGGAAACAGGTTTCTAAATGGAGAGCTTCATAGTCCCTAAGCACCAGAATGCAAGACAGAACGAGCTCAGAAATCTGCTGAAAGCTGGACTTTAACTAACACTGTACAGAGTTGTTTAGTTTAAAAGCTGTAATTTACTTATTAATCTGACATCAAGGATAATACTCATCTCATCTAACTTTAATCTTCTAAAGGACAGGCAGCTATTCTAAGTCAATCACCTGGGATCCTTTGATAGTTAAGGTAGAAAGACTTGCCAATTCATCCCATCTTAGATTCAAATCTTAGAATGGGATAACTCAGTCCTGGCTATGCTCCCAATGATTTAGAAATGACTGGCTCAGGAAGATGAATCCCACCCTAGACGTGCCACTGCAAACACTTGCTTGACATTGAACCGTAGCTCTGAGTGCACGCACAAATCGCAGTACACATAGTCCAGCACCCAAATTAGAAGCACCATGTCAAGCCAGTGATCTCGTGGTAACTTCTGCATCGCTGCATAACAATTTGCAAGACAACAGAACTATTCATTTCCTTGCCACTGAAAAGAATTGCCTTCTAAAAGCTCGTACGGAAGAGAAGTGCTCTTCCTTAACACAGGCTGAATAGGTTCATATAAATTGGGCTGATCTGCAGTAGAAGTAGCTGTGCTGATATGACACTATAACAAGACACTGTAGCGGTACGGTTCAAGTAGTACAATCTCCTGAATGGGGAAAAAGATGAATATAAAGGCACTGCATACAGATATAATTATTCATAGGAAGTATGATTAATATTTATACTAGTATAATTATCCATGTCTGAGTTTTACTAGCATGACTATTCTGACTGAAAAAAAAAAAAAGCAGTAACAAGAGCATTACGCTAATAGAACTTCTAAGATAAATCTACTCCTCAGTTATCAGCCCTCAATGTAAGAAAGCATTTTAATTGCTTTTCTGACTGGAAATGGATTTATGATTCCTAAGTTTAGTGTGCTTAACTAAGAGACGGAATTAAGCATGTACTTAATTTAGTAAGTGTAAACCCCAATGCTGCCAACACCACGCATACACTGAGCAAATCAAGAGTAGGCTCATCTATTTACACACAGACTTGAAACATTTGCTTAAGAGTTTTGCTGAATCGGGACTCAAACAAATGTTATGTAAGCCTAAAACAGTTGATGGCCACTTTGAGTGACAACTTAAATATTTGACAGGGTCAAACCAGAAATTCTTTGAAAGCCAAACAGTACTTTAACATTAGCTGTTTATGGTCTCTGTCCTTTCCTCGTCAAAATGGCAAGGACGAACGTTTCTCAAGAGATAGAAAAGTGCATATACTCACGCCTCCCAGCATGCTCTGCAGAAGTCATGTCCACAAGGCATATCCACTGGGTCTTCAAATACAGAAATATTACACATACAAATGCCACACTGTAGATGAAAAGAATACTTCTGATTAAGAAATACACTTAAGGCTTTTAAATTGTTAGAAGAACACATTATTTTTGAAAATCACAGCAAAAATTTAAAGAAGTGCTCACTAGGGGAAAAAAATTAAGTATAACCAGAAAAAAAAATATTTAAGCTGTAGAAATAGAAATGTGAAAGATTAGGTATCTCTGTTTCTATACCTCCCTATCCAAACAGCACATTTCGGGGTGCCCTCAACCACGCCCTCGAGCAGAGGACCTGCAGAATTCTGGGACTTCGAAGTTAGAGTCCCGGGGACAAAAGGGACCTGAATTTTCCATCAGCTTCACAGGCAGCCAGAAATGGAGCTTGGAGATGACAGAGGCTACAGGAAATGTTTATCATCTCACACGATCGGGTCTAAATCAAGGCGGAGGTATGCGGTTGTGCAACAGCAGCAACTACTGTAAGTAATAATCTGCATGAATACTATTTTTTTTTAAATACTATTGTGATCAAAATAAAGAATAAATTAAGCTACAGATATTCCAACAGAAGATACCTGCTGAATTTTATACAACTAGGTACTATAGAAAAAATAACATAGAGTATTAAGACCCTTACTCTGAAAACATTTAAAGCACAGGGATGAAACTACTGATTGCTTGTGGTTAGGTGTGGAAATAAATATTCATGTTCTTCAAGGAGTACAAACGGATTTTCCTTTCCTTTGGAACAAAGATTCCATGAAAATTTACTTCAACTTCCAACACATCACATACTATACACACATAGGACATTTTGAAAAAGTTAGCTTATAGTATTTCACTTTCTAAAAGCACTTGTGTTAACAGCCAAACCACAATCAAACCAAAAAAGTCGGCCTTTAAAGTGTAAAATTCGATGAAGGCACTTATAGTTGTTTCAGTCATTTCAGCTTATTGTCTTGCCAAAATTAAATATTTCAGAAGTTGACAATGCATCAAAAATGTTCACTATTAAATTTACACAAGTTTTCAATTCTGTTTAAAATGTAACTTTAAAATGAGGAATTTCATGAAGCCCTGAGTTCAAAATATCAAGTACAAAACATTTACTAGCGCAGTTTTAATCATAAGATAGGATGTAAATGCAAGATCTGAAAAGGAGCTTTATAGCTTGTGGGTTTGTTGTATCTATTCCTTTTAGTTTTCATTTTCCTGCCAAAACGAGAGACTTCAGAACAATATATATTATTTCATAAACATTTTGAAAAATATTATTTTCATAGCTCTTTATAAGATTTTTAAATGAACAGCAATACTACATATATTACTCTGGATTTGGATTTAGACACACTGAATCTAGAATGGCAATCATTATCCAAACCTGCATTCCTGGCTTATGGGCCACCAACGACAAACAATCACACAATGTAAAAGTGAAGACAAGTAATCTTTCATTACACATTTTAATTAGGAAATGTTCCTGGACAACATTTCACTGCCAATGTAGCTAAATGTGGGATAACATTATTCCTTCTATAGCTTCTTTTTCAGCA